ATGTATAAAAAAAACTATCGAGAAAAGATACAACTAGATGGAGATGATAAAATAATTTTTACATTCTTTGCTTTGTTAACGTACTCCATATTGTGTTTCAAACTTTCACCAAAATATATTTTGTTTACTCTCGTATAATTGGACAGATAGAAACTTTCATTTTTAATTTAGAAATACTAAAACGTCAAACTAAAAACTAAAAACTCAAATAATTTTGCAATAAATCGCTTACAAAATCATCAAAATTGGTCGACTAGAATTTGTATTTCCAAAGCTGATACATCACCCGGTATACACGCTAACAGCTCTGACATAATTTTCGAATAGTAAATTTTGGTTGCATTGGAGGTGCGTAGTTTGTGAACGAACTAGTTAGAATGAACTATTCCGACTCCGGAATGAAGGAAACTAGTTCCCGACTTCTCAAAGAACTAGTTCCTCAGAACCTATTCCGGGATATATAATAATAATAATATGTAAAAACTTATTCTTATAATAATATGTATCATAGCCCGATGCTAGGCAGGAGTGGGGATTCCCAGCTTGCTGCCAGCCGTATGTTATCGGATTCGGACCTAGAGGAACTAAATAATAGACAATGCTAGGCAGGAGTGGGGAGTGCCAGCCGTATGTTATCGAATCCGGAGCTAGAGGAACTAGAGGACTAGAGGAACTAAATAAAAGACTAGTGTACGTACTAATCGACCAGCGCGATCGTAGCCCGATGCTAGGCGGGAGTGGAGAGTGCCAGCCGTATATTACCTGTCCCGGACCGAAAGGACTGAGAGGAACTAATTAAAAGACTAGTTCGCGGGAATCTATTAAGTCGGCAGATCCGACATATAATACAAGGCGGCAACGATGGGTTCGGCTTTGTCTATTGCCACAGCCGGCGTAATTACCACAGAAAATTGTCGTGCATACTGTTTTTGATTTTTAGTTTGTTCTTTGAATATTTTATGGGAATGTTTCACTTTAGGTCCCTAAAATTAAGAAATGTCTTATAAAACGAAGTAGATATTCTGAATTTTTAGCCAAAAAAACAAAAAGCTTGAGGTGAGGAAAAACGCATTTTTTTGGTAATTTTTTCTGATTATTTACTCCAAATGATTTGTGATATAGTGTTTTAATCTTTAATTTGAGTTTGTTTTATTTTTTTTTATCTTGAATAAAACTTACATATATATGTTTTTAACATACGCAATTACACGTCCAGATATATTTTGTACATTATACAAATTATACAGATCATACTGTGAATAGTTCTGACTGACCACGAAACCTATTAGCAATCACCGGAGATGTTAGTCAGTGTTACTCGGGAACTATTATGAACTAAAGACCTAGTTCAAGGAACTATTCCTCTGGAGCAACTAGAACTAAGGAACTAGTTCCTCCCAAGGAACTAGAATTCCCACCTCTAGGTTGCATTAGAGATAAGAAGTTATGCATGCAAAGCCCGACTGTCACTTACTTTTACCCTTGTTTCATATACAAGGCTTTTACATAAAGAAATTTCTTAAAGAATGTGCGAGAAAAGACCGAGAGTGACGCAATGAACCGCGGAAATTCAATTTTCCATCGACACTCATTTATCTTGCGGCAGAAAAAGGCACGACCTAAGGGCCTCGGCTTTTCCAGGCCCTGGCAATTTATATAGATGAGTTTTCGTTTTCGTATGTCGTAAATATGAAATGCGAGCGGGATCCGGTGTCGTTTTATTGAAAATAGATGGCGTTTCGGACGTTTTTGATTTGGACGAAACGAAAAAAGGCAGATTTTGCCCCGTTCGGCGCAATGAAGAACGAGAGGTTCGAAATAAAATATCATTTTATATTCTTTACAGAAATTTAATATCGGTTTTTATGTAATAGAGGGATACAGGAAACATTTATATTCGATACCAATTATACTTTTAGTTACGTAATCGAGGGCGCAATTTTAAATTCATTGTTACCAACCATGCACATATTCGGCGCCGGCTTACTAAAGGCCCTCCAACATTAGGACATGCCATTTTCAAACCTTCTTTATTGTAATTATGAAACTTTCAATAGGTTTGATTTTCACGAGGACCTTACTTTGCGCATGCGCACGTATTTGCGCGTATTTCCAAAATAATCACAATTTTATACGGTTTAGAAAGTACAAATTATAAATTGTTACGGAAACCAACTTTTCATTGTCATCATATTGTCATAATCATATGTCATAATCTTATTTCCATTGTGTAACGACGCTTGTTTTTTGCGTTTTTTAATTTAAAAATTGTATTAATTACTCTTTTATCGACCGCTTTTGCATAGCCAAGGATGCAAGTGTGTTCAGTGAGAAGTTAATTTTAAGTTTGTGCAATTATATTTCTATTTTTTTCGTTGGACTTTCTAAATAGTCGTAAAAATGACTAAAAAGTGTTTAGTGTGTGAAAGTTCTAATATAAAGTTCCCCGAATTATCTTTTTGGCTTCGGTGAACTATCCTGACACACGATTTTTCTTAGAAAATGAAGTTTATGTTACCTTAAAATGAACTTCTTGGATTCTTTGACTAAAATCTGATGCGGAAAAACACGTTTTACATAAAAAATATTCTTAAAGATGTTGTTATTTGATTTTTGTAACAAATTCCAGGGCAAATTCCGATAATATATAACCGATAATGAAAGAGTCGCGGACTTGTTTATATTCGTTTCTATGCATATTTCTATGTTTACGCTGACAGTAGTGAAGGTCGAATTTTTTGACAAATATTGCGAATTGATACATGGTTGTCAGATCAGCTAGTAAATTATCCGGAATTTCATACATCTTTTTTGTTTAGGGAAAACATTACGTCATAGGTTTTAAATTTTTTTTAATACGAATTAGATGACTTTAGTTTATCAAATTGGCTAAATTACCGCGCCAGCGCGCGGCGAGACAATTGCTATAGTTATAGCACGGTTATAGCTCTAGCAATGAAAACACGCTGTAAGCTGGAAGCCACCAAAGCAAAGAAAACACGCTGTAAGCGTGTTTTCATTTCTTTGGTTTGTGTTTGGCTCGGGTTGAGTTGGTTTGGTATTGGTCGGTTTGGTTTTGTATTGGTTAGTTTTGTATGGGTTGGTTAGGGTTTGGTCGGGTTGGTTTAGGTCGATTTGACTGTTTTTTTTTTCTTTTTATCTATTTGATTGATATTTTGGTTTAAACAAGAGCGAAACAAAAGCCACCAAAACACTCGTAAGCGTGTTTTGGTTGCTTTTGTTTCACTCTTCTGTTGTTTTTTTTAGTTTTTCCATTCACACATTACCAACGCATTTTTATTATTAAAAATGGCTATTTTTTCAAAATAAAAATAAAAAATAGAAAAAGAAAATTCAGTGGAACTGGCAACATTGCTCTTCCTTTTGTCGCTGTCATGTCAAATCAAGTGTTAAAATTCTCCATAACGTCAAATATGTAATCTCCATTTATTTTTATTTAAAACTACTACTAAAAACGGTTACTTTTTGATAAAAAAAAGAAAAATGCAAAAATCGTGTGTCAGGATAGTTCACCGGACCCTATCTTTTTATAGGCAAGTAAAGTATTCAGTTGTTCTTTTATTTATATTAGGCAACATGCATACTTTCTGGTTAGATTTCCTAAGAATATTGATATTCGTACCGAGTGGCTAAATATATTTATTTAATTTTTAACTATCAAAATACTCTCACTACCGGTTTCGGGGCCCTACCCCATCATCCCAAGCTCACCTGATGATGGGGTAGGGCCCCGAAACCGGTAGTGAGAGCAGGTTGATCCACATTATGACGAACACAGCGTGGAATTAATTTCTATATTAGCAGTTCAATGCAAGCAATTCTTATATAATTTGATTATATACCTAAAAACTGCAAGAAATTTATTTTCCATTATATAATTTGGGCTAGCCGAAAAAAGCCTTTATTTTACTATCGATAGTTGTGCCTCGGTGGTACAAAAGTACTACCATTGCATGCAGGCCGCTATCTCGCGATGCGGGACTTAATATCTTACCGCTACTTTACGACAAGTCGTATTCATATACTCCACGCTGTAGTCGTCATTTTGCGGAAATACCCAAGCTCACCTGATGATGGGGTAGGGCCCCGAAACCGGTAGTGAGAGCAGGTTGATCCACATTATGACGAACACAGCGTGGAATTAATTTCTATATTGGCAGTTCAAGGCAAGAAATTCTTATATAATTTAAAATGTATATAATAATATATATATATATATATATATATATATATATATATATATATATATATATATATATATATATATATATATATATATATATATATATATATATATATATACCCCTATGCTTCATCAGGCATTTACTTGAAAGATTATTCAAACTGTGTCATTAACATTTATAATAAATAAGTTTCCATGTTATAATAATTATTTAGAACAGTTTATTTGTATTTAGTATGTATTGAATGCAAAATAAATGTTTTACAAAATATTTTTTTCGCTTTGATAGTCATCTAAACAAGGAACGCGGTAATGAAAATGCGTGAGTTAAGAGCTTCTTAACTCACTGACAAAAAATGTTAAGATCCTTTTTTGTAGGTAATTACCTAAGCTTCATTTTTTATCCCAAGAAAATTTTTGTAAATTGCATATTTTGGCGGATGTTTGCGAAAAAGTGATTTTTTGGCTATATGGGACCAAAGCTGGCCGAGCACGTTGTTTCAATTTTTAAAACTATTCCCCAAAAGGTACACAATCCGACTGAAAAGTCCCGGTCGATGAATTAGGCCGTGGTTTTAACCTTCATTAATTTACAGGACTATTAATACTTTTGCTATGTTTGAAAAAACATACTTTATCAGCTTTATGGCCTGAACCATAAACAAATTATTGTTAGCCTTCGCCCAAACTGAAACAGCCCCAATTTAAAAATTCCTTTCAGCATAGTCAGTCGTTTATCAACAAAGCGATAGTCGCGTATTCCAGGTATGCGGGTTAAAGCGGAAGCATTTAAAGCATTCGCGATGCGCACTTCGGCGCAGCCATATATAAAAATGTAGTCGTAAACGCCGGCCCGTTTTGTACTTACATCCGCGGCTCAGTCATGTTTAAGTCGAAAATACTGCTGCAGGCGATATTCCTGCTGGGAATTTCCTTGGTTAATTTTTCATCCGAGCATATTGTCTGCAAGATAAAAAGGAATTGCACGGAGGTGCACTGTCCTTTGTTGAATTGTACCAATTCTTCGTTGTTGTTGCCTCCCAGGTGCGGGGAGTGTTGTCTTAGGTGTAATACTTCAGTACCAGGTAGGATATTGCTGCTTATATTTTAACAAAAAGATAAAAAATAAAGTAAAACTTGTACAGGGTGAGTCAACGATTGAATATCATTATCTCATTTGTTTTGAGATTTGCAAAGAAATGTGAAATGGAAAAATTATGTGCACATTTTAAAATTATAGTAGAATACACACAGGATGCTTAAAAAAAGCGTGGTGGATACAATATTTAGTTTACCTAGTTTTTTATTTTATTACATATTAGATTCTCCGTAAAATTCTATAACTTTTCTATATACCAGGTGCGTCTGAAAAGTGGCTCAACCCTATGCCTTTTTTATTTTTTCAGTTAAAAAAAAAACAAGATTTGGTATGTTAGTATATGACATAAATGAGGATTGATTGATGTATTCAATTATTTCCGGTCACTTCCTGTTTCGCCGGAAATGACTACAACTTTTGGTTTTTAAATTACACCCTTGTATTTTTTAACATTTGATACAAAATCAAATTCTGAATAGAATATGATGGCATATGTCAACTTTTGACATTTTCAATTAGAAAAAATAGCATTTTAAATTTTAATTTAGAGAACTATGACCATAAATGTAAGGACAATTTGGCTCAATTTGAATATTTGAATACCTAGAGTGTGGTACCAAATTATTCGTAAAAATATGCTTTTTCAAAATGTATAGTTAAAATTATTAAAATTATTCTTTTTAAGCAAGAATGTCAAAAGTTAACATATGATATGTCATTCTATTCAGAGTGTCATTGTCTATCGAATAAAGTAAAAAAAAATACCGAGGGCCCCATTTAAAAATCAAAAGTTGCAGTCATTTCCGGTGAAACAGGAAGTGACCGAAAACAATTTTATTGAACACGTCCAATCAATCCTAATTTATATAATATACTAACATTTCAAATCCCGTTTTTTTTATCTGAAAAAATAAAAAAACTTATAGGGGTGAGCAACTTTAGGGACGCACCCGGTATTTAAAGTGTTCCTAATTTAGTCGTGTTGCAGATATTTGCTGTATTATATTACTTATGGGATTATTAACGGTAAAATATCAGACCAAAATCATTATTAGGTGGCTTTCATAAAAATTTACTGTTGAAAGAGCTATATGTAATACTCTCGGTAATACCTATAATACCGCGAATATCTGCAAAACCGTTAAAAATTTAGGAGCACTTTAAATACAAAAAATGTTCACTTTTATGTAAAAGAAAAATAATATATAGGGTGATTCATTTAAAAAAAATGAAATATAGCATTTTAAATATTGCTGTATTATACCTATGCAAATTTGCAATTTTATAAGTACGTTTTAGAGTATGCGGAATTCCTATTTATATCATAATCTAAGCCTGACTGCGACAAATAATGCGGGGATGCTAAGATGAGATAATGTTTTTAATATAACATATCCTCGGCTTTATGACGAAAAGGCGTATCTCGATTTTTACTTTTCAGGAGAGCAATTTAAAGAAAATCACTTACCTTATTTGGCCAATAAATGTAAAGTCTTTAATTTTTTAATAGTGTTTTTGTATTAACACTTAAACGGAGACATTGAGGAAACGTTCTGAAGATAAATTGTGCGTAAATTCTAATAAATAATTTCTTTTTAGTTGTTTAATAGAGATAGGCCTTTTTGTTATAATAATAATAAATTTCTTTCCGAACGAATAGTACACATACGCCCATGTAAAATAAATTCAAAAATGATGGTAAAGTGTTCTTAATAAGGAAAAAAAATACAATATTCACATTGTGGAATACATACCAGAAAATACAATACATACATACAGAAAAAATCTGAAAATCACCAAAAAATCAGAAACAAATATTTTTAAATACTTTTATTCGGGTTGGATTAGATCAACTGAAAACAAAGCCAATTTTCATTCCAGAAGCAAAGACAGTAATAAATTAAAATACACTTATCTAGCTTATTTTAATAATATTGTTTTTTATACAAAAATACATTTTTTAACTAATATATTTTTAGTAATTATTTTAGTTAATTGAGGGCATTAATACAAGGCATTTAAACTCACGGTCCATTTAATAAAAACCAAACTAAACAAAAACAAAACATGTTTATAACAGTTTCTGTTTTCCCTGTTCAATGATAACAAATTCGACTTCCATTCTACCGTGTTTATGCAGGATGATGATAGGCACAATAAATAAAATTTTCCAAAAATTGACAGGGATGACAATGCCAATGGCCTGACGATAATGAGATAAAAATTATTGTATTTTTCGGGCAAGTTTTTGGTTCGCTAAAATGTTCTTAGGGAAATTATAATTTCGGGAATTTTTCCATTAGGGCAATTTTCGTTTCGTTGTTTTGCTTTCGATCAATTTTTCTTCGGCCATTTATTCTCGGACAATCTTTTGCATACCCGATACAGCTATATGCAGAGTCTAGCTCATTCTAACAATGGTTTTTGGCAAAAAAACAGACTCAAAATCACACTATAAAAGAGAGCTGCTGCCATGTTAGAAGTTTTATTTTGTCCCAAGCAACCATCAGAAAATAATTAGGTAGAATGGTTTGATTTTCTCTCGCATGCATTTTCATAACTTAAAACAAAAGGACCTATCTCAAATTCCATCTTTCTTGTAGTATAACAATTGGTCGAGGGGTGTCTCACTATTGGAATTACATGTACATTTTCTTGGCAGTCGCTGGCAGTCATTGGCAGTCTTATGACAGTCGCCTATAATAATTACATGGCAGTCATAGGCAGTCTTCTTCGTAGTCATTGGCACTCGCTTGACAGTGAAAGATTATTTTGGCAGTACGTGTACATTTTTTACCCGAGTGAGACACCCCTCGTAATTGGTATAACAATTGATATAACAAAGAGCCCTATCTCAACATACGTCATAACGAAGAATTGTAATATTTGAGATGGGGCAAATTTTTAAACGAATATAAAATGAAAAAGGTACAATATTGAGATGCGCAAATTCGCTATGTTAAAATATGACCCATTGGGCATGTCATGACGTTGATATCTCAAAATCGCCAAAAATCGAGATACGCCTTTTCGTCATAAAGCCGACGATATTTTCCTAATAATATATCACATTTTATCATTAATTTTTGTTATTAAAAATTAGTTTTGAAGTGAAACTTGTTTACCGGCGATGAGAGAGTAAAATTCAAGGCCGTGACACACCATGGCCTTGAGACGACATGGCCATGCCTTGACGCACGAGCTAGCGAGAAAAAAGTGGCAAAGATCGCGCCAACAACAAAAAATATTTGATTTAAAGCTAAGAAAAGCATTATAATAAACTTGATACTGTACCTGGTTACTAATATCCTCTGGTTGTGTGCTAGGAAGTACATTTCCATGCATATTTTTATCGATAGATTTGTAGCTTCTGAATAACGGTCTAGGTAAAGCATTTAGCTCATTTGCAAGCTCAGAATTAGAATTATTAGAGTTAAGCAACTCGCATTTTCATTGGAGGACATTGTCATATTTATTTCAAACCAATAATCAACGAGAATATTCGTATAGTTTAACAAAATTACTTTAATCACTATAAATACGAATTGTTGTTTAAGTTCAAAATTTTTTCTCTTCTTAAATAAATTTAAGCGTTAACATTCTTAGGAATTTTCATAAAAGCCGGCCGGTTTTAAGTGGTATTCCACAAAATTTTCAGGGTATTGAAGAAGCAGAAAGTGTGTAGATTACAAAAATAAATTGAAAATAAAAACATGTCCTTTAAATCCTCCAATTTAATAGTCGTTAGTAAGAAATTTTACTTCAAATATGCGCACATAGTGCACACACATTTTTTATTCAATTATTTAATGTTAATTTTTTTATTTAGGTGTATCATCTATAAATAGCACCATTGGTGTTACAGATTGTCCAATAAAAGTCAACTGTCTGTTGCCTTGTCGTCCACTTCAATGTCCTCTTAACGCAACCATTGTTCCTCCAAAATGTGGCCAATGTTGCCCAACATGTAAACCTAGTACAGAAGGTAACTCATAGACTTATTTAAAATACATTATACTTACGTATTCTATTAAAAAAAAAATCATAATTTCTGGATCACATTTCTGGAAACGTGTTGTCTTAGCATAAAAAATGATTAGAAAGATCTAATAACGACAGAATATAAGGATTAATGATGATAATTTGAAAGATTTATTTTTCACAGATACTGGTTCCAACAACTCAACATCTAGTTATAACTCTACCTCGGCACCAACAAAACCATGTAAGTTATTTAAATTATATTTTCTGTCTCTTTATTTGACTCTAAATTTAGCCAAACCTAATCAAAAATACCATACGATAAAAAAACGGCGTCAAAGACGGCTGGGGAATGATAACCGATAATAATTTTGACGAGATCAAGCTCTATACGTTACTTACTTGGCCCGTACTCGCTATTATCTTTAATGGCATTTACTACCTGTTGGACTTAAGAAGGTTTTTTAATATCCTTAGAAAATTTAGTCTTATTAATATTTATTAAAACCAAATTTAAGTGTTTTTAGTCTGGTTTTTAGAGTTTTAACCAGTGTCGATCTGACATTACGACTATAATAGTAACCAAAGCCACCTCTATATTAAAAAATAATATCATCGTGTAACGATAGTTGAAAAAATTGCAAATTGTTGGTGGCAAGTTCATTTTTTCCCTCTTACACATTAACCAAGACATGTATTGGCACATGAGTCAGAAAACAAAATGCTCAGGAGGCATGGTTCTGATCGAAAAATAATGTTTTAAGAAAACTTGAAACCCCTGCTTGAAGCTGCTTAAATTATGCTGCTTATTGTTGATACCCCTGCTTGAGAAAATGACAAAATTATTACACTGGATGTTTTAAAGCTAGGGTAAAAACAACCCTTCAATTAACCCTGTATAATAAGCCAAATACAAAGTTTATAAAAAACTGAGTTTATGAATTAAAGTTGATAGATTTATTTACACACATGGCCAAAATTATTGCCTTATAACGATATTTTTATTTTATTTTGGACCTAATATATATTTTTGGACATATTGGCTTACTACACGACTAACTAATATAAAATTAAAGATCTAAGTGAAACTAGGCTGTTATTATAATTTTATTTCATAATCAGTGAAAATCAACAAAAACAAATTTCATTTTAAACAGAAAATATTGAAAACAATTTTAATTATTTCTCACAACTAATAGTCTTTATTGCCTACTCGAGCCTCAATGACGTGGCATGCTCTCAATTAAGTTGTCCAGAAGAAGGAGGAAATGTTGACGAATGGTTTACCAGGTTTCGCGCGCAGCAATTTTCAATTCATTTAAGGTATGGATATCTGGACACATCGGTGGCCCACCACAGTTTTCTTATACTCTCTTTCTCACAAAATTCGCGAACCGCTAAAGTGCGATAGGGAGGAGCATTATCATCCATGTAAACAAATTCATCCCCCACTGCATTATACCTGCCCATACTATAATGCTTCTCCCTTGAAACGGGACACGGGGTTGAGCTGCATTCAAGCGTGCTCGTCTTCCAGATGGTTTTCAGATCAAAGTTCGTCGCGAGTCTGACACTAGGCCTATTCTTGTTTAATTCCTATTAGGTCAGGGGATTGGGTCTTGTAATTAATAATAATAATAATAACAATCATCATCTTTATTTCACACTGTGTATGAATTTACAGAGAATCTGAAAATATATCACAAAGGAAATGGTGTCACAGAAAATGAAGGTCTTAAAAATGTATTTTTTTTTCTATAAATAAACTATTTTATCATACCCACACACATGCCTATGTCCCCTCCAGAAAGTCTCTAACCGAGTATGGTTCCATACCAATGATAAGTGCCTTAAGGTTTTGTTTGAATCTTCTAAAATTTGATATTTCTTTTATATTATTTGGTAGTTTATTGAATAACCTGAGACACATATAATATGGATTCCTCTCAGTCAGAGTCAATCTGTGTACTGGGTAATTTACATTTAGGGTTCTGGTGTTATACCCATGAGATATCTGTAAATCAAATGAATCCCTATTTTTAAAAAAGAAAATCAGAGCTTCATAAATATAAACTCCATGCACCGTCATCAAACTCTCATTCTTGAAAGTCCTCGGCAACTATCTCTATACTTCATATTTTTCATTGTCCTCAGCAGTCGCTTTTGAACAACAAATATCTTCTGTAGGTCTCTATTTCTACCCCAAAAAATGATTCCATACCTCAACACCGATAAGAAATTTGCATAATATAATATCTTAATAGTATTATAGTCCACATATCTTTTAACAACTCTTATCCCGTAACATATAGCATTTAGTCGTTTTAACAGAGAGCTTATGTGGTCTGACCAATCCATAAACTCTTCAACCTCGTTGATTTTTTTTAATAATCGCTTAACATCGCTTTGTTTAACTTCTACAATTTCAGCTATTGCAACTTGCCGGTAGCCCTGTTGAGACAGTGTTACTATTCTGACTCTATTAAACTGTGAAATAATGTTTCTAGGCATTTTAAGGCCACAACAATGGCCAAATTTCTTCTGAAAACCAAGAGACCACAAATCGAAATGTGCAAGAATTTGTAATAATATTGGGTCTAAACGATAAACAGTGTTTACCATATCCATTTTAACAAAAAAATGTTTATTACGGATTATCAAAGCTATATATAAAAAATATTCTTTAAATTCCTTTCCGTATATTTTTAAACGATATATGCAATAAATTTGGCCATGTGTGTATATACAGTTTGTTAAAAATTGATAAAAATAGGGCTAAAATTAATTATTAAATAAAATTCTCCACGTAAAACAGAAATTGGTTTCTTAAAACACGTTTCTTATTAGATATCGCCGATGATTCGAAAAATGGAACGTCTTGTCTTGCTGTAGTATGTCCTGAATTGGATTGCGCATTGAATGCCACACTGATCAGGCCCGGACCTGGAGAATGCTGTCCTAAGTGCATTACGAATACTACTCGTACGTAGAACACCTTTATTATTAAACCGCATTTCTAAAATTTCTTTGTTTCAGTTCCGACTATTCTAGATAATACAACGGCCAGTGAACCATAAAAATATGTTTTAACATAGTTTACAGTGTTAGTGATATAGTTTATCTATGTATTTAAATTTTAATGTTAATAAATACAAAAAAAAACGATAAAAGTGTGCTTTATATTTGCTTTGTCCAACCTTGAAAGTCAAACAACTATTAAAATGTAAATAAGGTAATCGCAAAACAATTTCCGATGCACGTCATCAACTTTGTGTGACAAGCGATGGCGACAGCGCTGCTAGATTGTGATGGATTTATGAGATGAATCTTAAATTAAAACTGGCAAAAAATATATTTATTATATCATTTTTTAAATATTTTTACGTTTTATTTTTAACTTAATAACTAATATTTTAGTAATTAATTGATTTATCTGCTTTATAGCTTATTTTACTTATCTATACTAATATATAAAATCCTTAAGTGACTCACTGATTAATCATGATCTTGCTCAAACCAATCAACATAAGAAGCTCAATTTTGGCACACAGGTTGATTCTAGGGTGTTTTTTTTTTAATATTTTTACGTTTTATTTTTAACTTAATAAATAATATTTTAGTAATTAATTGATTTATCTGCTTTATAGCTTATTTTACTTATCTATACTAATATATAAAATCCTTAAGTGACTCACTGATTAATCACGATCTTGCTCAAACCACTCAACGTAAGAAGCTCAATTTTGGCACACAGGTTGATTCTAGGGTGTATGTAGAGGTTCGATAAGAAAGGATTTTTCGAAATTCCAGTTCCAAGGAGGTGAAACCACCCCTCAAATATTACAATATTTTTTGTTTAAAAACCGGTGAGTTTTTCGGAAAAACTCTTAAACACGTAGTATATTTTATTTTGTTGTTTTACATATTGTAAGATTTTTTAAAAATTTATACAGAGCGTTTCATAAAATATGACCAATGAGTAATCACGATTCTGCTTAAACTGCTTGACGTTTAAAGCTGATTTTTGGTAAACGGATTGACAGTGGAGTGTAGAGGTTTGATAAGGAGGGGTTTCTCAAATATTACAATATTTGTTTTTTAAAAAACGGTTAGTCTTTCAGGAAAACGCTTGAACACGCATAATTTATTTTGTTTTTTTACATATTTTAAATTTTTTTAAAAAATCATACAGGGTGTTCCAAAAAGTTGGGTAATTGATTAACCATGATTCTGCTTAAACTGCTTTACGTAAAAGCTTATTTTTGGCAAACGGATTTTTGAAAGTCAAATTCCAACGAGATGAAACTAGCCCTCAAATATTACCAAGTTATATAATAATATCGCCATATTGTTTTTTCTCATGTTGACATCAATGTGAGAAAATTTTATCCAGTTTATATGTTAATGGAAATTCTTGCTTTGCTTTATCGTCATCAATACAAATGATTAATTGGATGCGAACGAAGTCGCGGGTACACGCTAGTTACTTATAAAAATGCTTCGGCATATTTTCAACACACAATGAAATACAAAAACTAGATACTAGATACCTATCTACAACTAGATAGTTCTTAAATTCTTTAAGAACTGTTTGTGCTTAAAAGTACAATTTAAAAAAAATACTATGACAATAGGCAAAAAACGAGAATTACTCAGAAAGATTCAACAACAACGTAACACGATATTATACAAAATAATGACTGACAGTAGGATAATTGTCAAATAGTAAACGACAATCTTGCTGAAATGTGACCCAACATGGCGATAATAAAATTCGGTTTAAAATAACTTTTGCCCCTTTAATCTAACTAAAATATCTGTTACAATCATTTGCTCTATAAAGTAAAATGAAGAGCTGCTCGTTATCTTAAATTATACAACAAATTTAAACATTTTTGGCAAAATTTCATTAGTGTCAATGTTTATTATGATTGATGACGTGCATCGGAAAATGTTTTGGGATTACATTACGTCGCAAAAATCAATACATACTTTTTTGTGACGTATGAAAAAAAATACATTCTTGAAAAGAAAACCGTTATTTTACGTTCGATTTTAAGCAGTGATTTTTTCGACACGATCTCGTCATAATTTCTCGAACGGCATTACAGAGTGAAAAAGAAAGATGAAAGGACGACGTGGAGCGGCAAAGTTACCGGAAGATTTATGGAAGATCGGAGTGGGCCTCCTCTTTTTCGAGAGCTACGAGGAGGGATGCGGTCCCCCGCCCCCCACGAGAGAGTGCTGCGAAAGAGTTATGAGAACCTTATAAATAGCAAAGCGATATATTAAGCGAGTACAATACTGTAAGCGACAAGGGCCCGGATTAACGCCGACTCGCAGAGATTTAATGCAGTTTTGTTACTTCTAAGCGGCTACTAAGAGTCGAGTTTACGAGGGGACGATCCCACAATTTTTCGATTTTTCATCTTTCACTCGCTCAGCAAAATATCGCTTTTTTGGTTCATTCAATGCTTTCAATGTACCGTTCATTAATTTCCAGATTGGCATTTATTTTATACACGGCGATTTCGAATTAAATGCATTACCGCTTATCGAATGTAAAACCGCACAAAATGTTTCGGGATTTTGTGCGGTTACATACTTACCGAATAATACTTTTACCTGACACAAAATGCGTTACCCGGCAACACTACGACTCAGAAGGAGGATTACTGTTGCCGCTATCGCATTCAGTGTCAGGCAAAAGTATTAGGTAATCCCGAAACATCGAGTTGTATTCAAAAAATTATACAACGAAATAAAGTACATTATATATCCTTCTTAACTTAAACATTTTTATTATAATAATTAATATTTACAAAACTACAATTGTTATAGTGAAAACTTGAACCATTGGAGGAATTATTACCATAGGTTGGAGGTGTTTGAATTTGGACTTCAGCATTTGAAGTAGATGACAGTGTATTTTCGGCTCTCATTTGCGACAAAATCTTCATATCGTCCCATTGCTGCCAAAAGTCACTAACTTACTTTTTATTACTTCCGAGAAAAACGCGTCTAAAGATGAATTGCATTGCATAAAATGTTATAGTTAGTAACTATTCGGTATTAAAATACAACATAAATAGCCAGAAATCGTAGTTAATGACTTTTTCAATCGATTCTCCGCTTCAAAATACAGTTAGTGATTTTCAGGTTCGGAAAAATGTTAGATAGTGACTTTTGGCAGCAATAGGACGATATGATCCTGCTCGCTGAGCTGGAGATAGGGAGTAACAGAACTTATAGAACTATGGCCCGTTATTTTGATGACTTCCTGGAGATTAACACCTGAACTGCTAAGAGAACTTACTGTTGAAGCTCTGTTAGAGTGATTCGTGATTTTTTTATTTTTAGTATCTAGGCCGATGTTGATTGCTCCCATTTTTGTCCAGTTTCTTATAATGTTAATACTTGCTGGATAATTCTTGAACCACGGGGAATTATCATTCTGTTTCCATTTCTTATTGACCGTCAAAAATAATCGATTAGTTTTAATGTTTGCGCGCCTCTTTTGGACATTGGCTTAAAATATAATCGCATACAAGCAATACAAGCCACTTACTTTCGCATGTTTGATTTAAATATTGGATTGTATTCCAGACAACCGGTACTAGCCCCGTTATTATATTTTTCCTCCTTAAAATATTCCAATAGCAAAAAACTGCTTTATTTCCTCTCCATGCTAGTTCGGATGCAGCTATGTGGAAAAATTTCCGTTGAAGCCCATCTGGAGTATTTTCATCCAAACTTAAGGCCATTTTTTCTATTTCCTGTCTCGTCAAAGCTGTGGAACTCTCCTTTCGTGCACCAGGTACTGCCTGCAACTCTTTTCGTTTTGCGTGGCGGACAAGACGGGCGCTTTGAAAAACCATGTCATTGAATGGATCTATGCGGCGATTATATTTTTCAAAATATAGTTCCTGGAACATTTTGGCCGTTTTGTGCCATAAAACATTGACCACACCTTCTTTATAATGGCTTCCATCTGATTTTTGCATATTATATGCCCAGTCTTTTAAAATGTTGCAAAAATCCTCGTCTGTTATCGTTTTCTCAATTTTGAAACTTCGTGCAATGTAAAACTCAGTAAACTGCTTCCATACATATTTGTCTGAACGCTCGGTATTTCTTCGCTTCACATTTTTAATAGCATCGTCGACTTGAGGCAACAAAATTTTACCAAATCTTTCTTTTGTCATTTTGTAATAAGAATTGACCGGATATTTTGTGGAACTGACAGAAATGACTTCTAAATTAATATTTCAAAAAATGATAATTACAATATGGCCACCAAGCTGTAACGTTTTTAGTTCGTTACATGTCTTTTTTATATATAATATATGATGTCTGGCCTATCATCACCGGATTCCCTCTCGTTCAGGCCGGATAGTTATTTGGCAGGCTTGGCGTAATTTTTACGTTCCCTAGTTACCAACCCTGCTATCGTTTCACTGTTCTGTGGAGGCGCGCGCTGTCAATATCTTTGTCATATGTCAAGGCGCCTCTCTGCGTTTTAACCTCACTTTGTTTTTGGCCACGGTTGCAAATCCTGCTTTTAGAAATGGCAATTTAAAATTACAGTTGAGGGTTGGAACCTTTGGTGTTAAACAGCAAAATAAAAACACTAAATCACCACAATACACCAAAACACTTTTACTTTTACACTGGACGCGCGTTTCGCTAACCATGTTAGCATCATCAGCAGATGATTATAAACTAAAGTACAATCTACGGATGATGCTAACATGATTAGCGAAACGCGCGTCCAGTGTAAAAGTAAAAGTGTTTTGGTGTATTGTGGTGATTTAGTGTTTTTATTTTGATGGCAATTTAAATCTTGCTGCAAAATCTGAATCAGCTGCCATTTCGAAGCAACAGGTAAAAATGAGATATTATCTTTTTTGATTCGTTATTATTACTGCGTATTTTTAGGGTAGAGTTTTGGATGTCCCAACCTAACTTGTATTTGTATTCTGCTGGCAAGTTGGCCTTTTCTTTTGTCCTCCAAAATGTCACATGGAAGAAAGGACATGTTCTTTATTATTTAGTGAGCCCTCGGAAGTAATTCGAGGTAGGTTCATTTTGTTTATTAGACCTTGTTTGATTTTAAACAAGAGTTTCGTATTTTTAGGGTCCAAGGTACGGACTATTTACAAGGTACGGG